AGCTGTCACGAAGAAACTCGTCTGCTCTTATTCGTTCACTTTATACTTGCCTTCAGCGTACCGGTTAAAACGTCTCTGAACGTCTCTATGCTTCTATAATATATTTTGTCGAAGTGATTCGCGTTGAGAGCAAAACGCCGTTGCTAATTCCTTATCGCTAAACGTCAAATAAATGCTTTCATTTAAATTCGAGTCTTGGAATTCGAAATCCTTATCTTTGCATTTAGCCTTGCAAATGTGAATTCGCGTTTTCCGTTTGCCGCGACAGTATTTTCGTTCGTCGATAATCTTCGTCGCCTATTATTCATTTGTCTATTATTTTATATTATATATGTTTACTTCGTCCAAATGTTCCCGTACTCATTCGGGTCTGGAAAACGATAATATTTCATAACCTGAAAACACTCATTGAGATTTCCTCGTATTTATAAAGCGAGAGACACGACTCGGCGCCAGAATCCACAACTTAAAAGTAGCGCGTCGATTTCCAGCCATTTGTTCGATAAATCGTTGCTCCCGCTGCTTCTGCAGGCTTTACAGGATAGAACGATCGAAGAGTTACGCTGATGTACTTTTAAAATAGCACCGAGGTCAAAACGAGACTTCGGCGATCTTCCGTTTCACGGACAGTCATCGAAAAATCATAGATCACTCGCAAGAAATTATTGCTTGCCTTGGTCGAGTTACTGAATCCAGAGATATACACAAAGTCTCAAGATTTTTCACGTTCCAAATATTTAAAGTAAAAAGTTAATATGAAAAGATAGATAACAATAATTATTTGTGTTCAAAATAAAAAAAAACGTAAGTTGTATAAAGTATTGCCTTATATCCTTTCTAGGTTAACTTTAATTTCAGTTCAACTTACTTTTCATCTTTTTCTAATGCTTGTAATCAGAAAAAGAAGAAAAGTTAGTTGAATCGAGATTAAAATTAAATCATCTACTTTGGAAGAAACAAATATTAAATATATTTTTGCTTCCTCCATCTGCAATTTATAGATCTTTTTTGTTTAACCTAACTTTTTTTTATTATTCTAGCCTTCAAAAATTGTGGAAAAATTCAGGATTATTTTTTAACATCTCTATTACATTACCAAATAATTTTCTCAACTATTTTAGAAGAAGAAACTGGATTCCGTCTGGATTCTTTCTTTATTTCGAAGAAATTTGAAAGTATTTGATTTGTGTCAAAAAAGATTGCAGAATTAAAAAGAAAGAAATCTACATGTGCGACGTATTTTTTTGCAAATAATTTCTCGTTGTCTCTCGCGGTTCTTCCATGATACTTTCATATATATTTTACATAGTCCATTATTTCCAAATTTGATAGCGTAAAGCTGTAAAATATACAAACGCAGTTGGCAGAACACATACTAATTCAAAATTAGCTGCACGGATTGAATTTCTTCGGTCGTGTAGCAACAGGGTGTTCGGAAAGCGAGTGTCTTCATCAAGAGGCCGCGGAGGAAACAGATCGTCGCTTTCACGAAAGCAGATCGCCGGTGAAATTTATGCCGTCACGTGTCGTCCTCGACAAAGTGGACTGCAATTTAGCTGCGCTTTAACGAAGCGCCGTTTCTCGTTTAAATGTAGAATCGTAGTAGCAATTTTGTGTCCGCTAATCGCGTTACAAGCGAAAAACAATCATCGAGTTTACGATATGATCGTATCCGTACAATAAGACCGACAGAATCTCTTACATCTTTGCTCTTTTACTGCGCAATCTCTTTCACTTAAAAAAAAGCTTTACAGCTAATTTTTCGTGATTATTGTTTGTAATATTTTCCCTTTTATTTACCTTGAACAATTCTAGTCCGTTTAACGCAACAGCGTTCACATAATTCACACTTAACGAGTCCTTTCGTTAATTCGACGGAACATTTCACTTCTGTTAAAGTGACATTCGAGCTCAAGCCAAGAATTTTGCAATTCTCATTGGTATGCGGACAGTTGTCGATCACATCTGCATTTTGACGCTTCAAATTTACTTTTTAATAGTCATCATAATCGGATATATGCATGGAAAGGAAGGTTTGCTAAAGTATCTAAAAATGTAACTATATATAAAGAACGATTTTACTAGGGTATCTAAAAATTTAGCTACATACAGATCTGAAAATAATTTGGTTAGACTAACTCAAAACAATTATGTAGAAAATTCAAGAGTGACGAACAACGCTGCGAGAACTTTCAACATTCTATCAATCAACTTGAGCGTCCTATATAATTATTTTGATAGTCCAACAAAATTATCAGATTTGTATCTACCTAAATTTTTAGATACTTCAGTGAAATCGTTATTTATATAGCTATAAATCTGAAAATAATTATGTAGGACACTCAAATTGATTGCCAGAATGTCAAAACTTTTTGCAGAATCGTTTATCATACTTTAGATTTCTGAACACATACATACATATTTTGACAATCCAACAAAATTATTTTTAGATCTGTATCTGGATAAATTTCTTAATTACTTTAAATCATTTTTTCCTATGTCTTCTCTTTTCTATCAACGTATTTAATATCCATTTTCTACCAATGTAGAAACTTTAATCTCTGTTTATCTTTTTCTAATTCTTAGAACTATAAAAAACAATAATTATTACAAAAGACTCTCAAATTTTAAACAACATATAAATAAATAAAAGTAGGTTAATGAGAGTCAGCGCAGATAAAATATTCTTAGAACTAAAAAAATAAAGAGTAAATTGAACAGAGATTAAAGTTAATTTACATTTATAGAAATAAACACAAGTCACTTTTTGCAAAGTTTATTTTACGCAAAGGATTCTTAATTAGATAATTACAGACTTTTGTGTTCAGAAACACGTTCTTTGAAATAATATGAAAAAGATTAATGCCGTTCTCACGAGCTTCTACGGATCTTTAAAAAATCTCGTAATCTCTCTCGATAAATTTCTTTTTCTAATTGAGATAAAAATTTTTTGCAACGCTAATTTGACAGAAAAGTTACGAGATCGCGTGACACATCTGAAACAGGAAGATGTAAATCGCGAATGCGTTCATTAGAAGCTCCTATCGCGAACGACGGTCGTCTGCCGCTCATTTACTGCAGGCTTATGTTGCCGCCCGTCGTTTCTGCGTTCGAAGCGAGTTCGTTGCCAGTTCTAAAATCGTCGTCCTGACAATGACGTAGGATCGCGGCCGTTTGTCTCACGTGGGACGATAATCGTGACGGTGGATCCTCTCTTTCATCGCTTCGACGAACGGAAAATACATTATATCGCGGGATCGAAAATCGACCACAGCGAAACAATTTTGTGAATTTAACGTAATCTGCGTCTGAACTAAATAACGAGATATATGTATATCGATGAAACACAACACGCAGACTGCTGGAACAATAAATAAACAGTAGTTGGCCCACTGTTTAGGTAAATCGTATTATGTATACAGTGATGCTTACGCATTTGCCCCGCGAATTTTGCGTTGCAGCACGGGAATTGCAGTCGTTTGCACTTG